TGAATCAATAAACCCACTATATGTACAGAGATTCTTTGTAGCATTGTGAATAATACTGGAGAATATGGAGTCATTTAAGTACCCAGCCTCAAGGAAAGCCTAGGTTACTGACGGGTCAGCTACTTGAATAGACAAAGGTGTGACCCATACGTGGTGTAATTAAGTAGATTCTGCAGTGACCCGAGACAGGGGTCCTGTGGGTGAGACGTGCAGAATATAAGACTGTACCCATCTACCTTGTGCATTCAGCTCTCGAGAAAGTATGCATTTCTCTGCACAAAGCCCAAGGAGCATTAAGGAAGAAAAAGGATTATTGTTCAGAGTGATGTGGTTATGGAAAATCTTTTTTATGATTCCCCCCAAAGAAAGGTGGCACGCCTCCAGGCTGGCCAGTGTTACAGGCGTGTGCTTTGCAGATTCTTTTTCCCCCAAGGGATGTGGTAAGAACATAAGGATGGCTTGGCCTTCCCAGGGAAGTTGCAGAAGGAAATTGTGTGCATATGGATGGCACTTTAATTCTGCACACGTCAGCTGGGAATCTTTTATGGGGCGATAAAACAGTTTCTTGGTGATCATGACGTGAGGAACAGCTGCAGGAGTGGAATTCCATTGCCCTGGAGGTCAAGTCTTTAGGGGTGGGGGTTGGCAGAGGTTTGAAGGAAATAGCTTTGGCTGACTCCACATTACTCAGTGAGCCCAATAGGGGGACGGGCACCCTACCCATCCTGTCATTGGACAATTTGAGCAGAGGCTGGGTGCCCTCTCTCACGGATCCTGGGATTGCAATAGAAGGAAGGGTGTTTTTTTGTTTTGTTTTGTTTTTGAGATGGAGTTTCGCTTGTCACCCAGGCTGGAGTGAAGTGGCGGGATCTCAGCTCACGGCAACCTCCACCTCCTGGGTTCAAGTTATTCTCCTTCCTCAGCCTCCCTAGTAGCTGGGATTACAGGCACCTGGTACCACACCCAGCTAAATTTTCATAGTTTTAGTAGAGAAGGGCTTTCACCATGTTGGCCAGGCTGGTCTCAAACTCCTGACCTCAGGTGATCTGTCCACCTCAGCCTCCCAAAGTGCTGGGATTACAGGTGTGAGCCACCACACCTGGCTGGAAGATTGACTTTTATAACTTAGATTTGCAGATTCTGTGTATGGCTGAGCATGTTAGTCACATTCACTGTGTCTGGTGACACTTGCATTATCCACTTGGGTTGGTAGCTAGACCTGGAAATGAGAACTTGCTACTGAGATAGGGCAGGATGAGGGGGCAGGGGCTCAGCCCAGGCTCTAACATATCCATTCAGAAAGGAGGAGGTGGTCAAGATCTGTGGTTTCCAAATACAGGCTCAGCTGCCTGGGAATCATCCATGGAAGCTGCAAAGTACCCATCTTCTTGGGCCCTTCCTCAGAGGTAGGAAGTCACTTCACCTGGATGGGGCTCAGGAATGTGCTACTTAAAATTTTGCATTCTGGGGTCGGGTGTGGTGGCTGACACCTGTACTCTCGGCACTTTGGGAGGCCAAGGTGGGAGGATTGCTTGAGCCCAGGAGTTTGAGACCAGACTGGGCAACATAGTGAGACCCCCATCTCTATTAAAAAA